ACATGTTTGTTATTTTCACACTGACAGCCACTAGAGGGCACTCTAGGCATGTGTACCAGTATCTGCGACTCCTGTACCACTGAAAATTTACATGTTTGCTATTTTCACACTGACAGCCACTAGAGGGCACTCTAGCTGTCTGGTACGACTTATTGTGTTTTTTCTTGTTTATTATGCATTTTTTGGCTGGTGCGACTTAAACTCCGGAGCGACTTATAGTCCAGAAAATGTGGTGATAAAGCAAACCTGCTAAATCAGACACACGGCTGTAATTACGTTAATATTTCTGGAATTTTGTCGAACGAAACGCCATAAAAAGTCATTCGTAAATTCACCAGTGGTTATCGGTAAAACACAGAGAGGTTCGTCGGCGTAAAGCGAGGATGCGTCTGTAGTGGAGGGGATGTTTGGTTCACGGCACAAACAACACGTCGCATCAGTTCTCGCAGCTGCCTCTGCGTGTGAAGAATGTCTGTGAATTTTCACCTCTGACTTGAGTCTCTCAATCTCGATTTCCCCGTCCTCTATCTGTTGTCGAAGTTGCTTAGCAACAGTTTTCTCCGTCTCCACGATCTGAAGCAAATGGAGATACTTCTGCATGAGGGACTCGTGCTCCGTGGCCAGGTTTCTGTAACTGTGACACATGAAAACACGGGCTGTTAGTTTGGCTTCACAGATAGTGTTAAAAACACACACACACACACACATATATTTATATATATATATATACAAGAAAAAAGGAAACATTTTCAAAGAACAAAAAATTATATTTTAATCATTTTAGCTCCATTTTTGTCAAATTAGCCAAATTTTTACCCGATTAAGTTACTGGGTTGTTTTTTTTTTTGCTGACGTTTAACCTGTTATTTCATCCAAACCCGTTGTATCTGGACTTGCCTAAAGTCACTGTTTAATTATAAATGACCAAATTAATCAAACGTTACATTCAGGGACCTTCTGGTTTTCTGCACGTGTCAGTGACGTCAGTCGTTTACCTGGCGTGTGATATCGCCGCCACCCATTCGTCACAGTCCTTCACGTCTTCTGTACGTAACTCCAGCGCCTTCTGGTTTTCATGGGTGAAGTTGACCGTGAAGTAGTACTACAGTAAACAAAAGAGAGAGAGAGAGAGAGAGAGAGAGAGAGAGGTAGAGAGAGAGTGA